CGTACTTTATGTGGGACGTCATTCTAGCACTGGGGACCCAGCAATGCACAGAACCCCTGCCCTCGTGGAAAGCACCTTCTAGAGCCGTAATTCCCAAACTTTACGGTACATGTGAGTTACCTGGAGGGCTTGCTCAAACACAGATCGCTGGGCTCTGCCCCCAGAGTTCCTGATTCAGTTTCCCATTCAGAGGGGCCTGAGAATTTGCATTTCTAGCAAGTCCCCAGGCTGAGGCTGCCGATATGAGCACCCGTGTTGAGAAACCCTGACATAGAGGATAAGTTTGTAGTCTAGCAGGGCAAAGGAATGTGGTTGTCCAGTTTGTTGTGGGAGGACACAGGTCTGGTTTACATCAAAGCCTCTCTGATTCTTCAGGCCCCCGTGAGGAGGGAGGGTTCTGGGGTGCTACCCTGAGTGCAGGGTCCTCGCCTCTTCACTCTGGATGAGCCCCAGCAGTCTCTGCAGAGTCACTGAAGTCCGGGACCGATGAGGAGGCAGGTGGAGCAGTAATGATGGCCACGGTCGCCTCTCTGTGCCTGTCCCATGGCACCCTCACCATGTGTAATGTCTCGTCTCCAGAGCAGCTGCAGGGGAGGTGTGGTTTCCCCCCATTTAATAGATGAGAAAACTGAGGCCAGAAAGCTCAGGTCCCATACCCCGGTTCCCTAAGCCAGTGAGTCAGACATCTGGGGCTTCAAATGCTGCCTTTCTGCGTCCAAACCCCGTGACTCAAGTTGAGACCGACCTGTGGTTGAGCCCTCAGTGCTGCCGACTGGCAGAAATTCTTCAGCATCCCTCGCTGCTTCCTCTGCAGGGAGACGCTGGTAGCAGGGCTGGGCCTCAGCCTACGTGCTTCTCCGGTGTAGCAGCAGATGGAGACTCTCAGACTTGAGGTTCATGAGGGACAGAGCCACACTGGGGTGGGGGGGGGCCTCTCAAGAGCTATAACAGCAGGTGCAGTTTGTGAGGAAAGAGCTGACTGTCCTGCCTGGACGAGCTCCATCTGGAAGTGATCCATATTATTTTCTCAAAGGTAAAAGTTCGTGGAAGTTTAGTTGTAATTTATTTTACCTGCTAGTTCAGGGCGTTGAAAATGCACATAATGTGTTCAAAACGACAGGAAAAGCCAGTCCTCCCAAACCCTTGTGAAGAACCATATGCCGGCAGCATCGTTTCACAAACAGTTAAGACTAGAGAAAAGCCATCTCACCGCTGCAGTGGGAACCTGGGGAGGGGGCACTCAGGTGGTCCAGGGCCCAGGCTCTGACACATTGTGGAATGCCACCGTCTGTTGTGGTTGTCCACATCTGTCAGATTACCTGAATTATTTCATTGTAGCTCCGCAGAGCAGGGCCTTCAAAGGTCTGTGCTCTACTCTGATGTTCACAGCAGCACTATTTACAGTAACCAAGCCATGCAAGCCACCTAAATGTCCCCAGAGGACTGGATAAAGAAGCTGTGGTATATTTCTACAATGGAATACTACTCAGCCATAAAAATGAATTGATACCATTTGCAGCAACATGGATGGACCTAGAGATTATCATACTAAGTTAAGTGAAGTAAGTTAGGAAAAGACAAATATCACCATTTATATGTGGACTCTTAAAAAAAAGATACAAGTGAACTTATTTACAAAATAGACTCATAGGCATAGAAAACAAGTTTATGTTTTCAAAGGGGAAAGGGGAAAGGGGAGGGGGAGGGATAAATCAGGTGTATGGGATTAATATACACACACCACTAAACATAAAATAAACAACAAGGAATTACTGTACAGCACAGGGAACTATATTTGCTATCTTGTAATAACCTGTCATGGAAAAGAATTGGAAGCTGTACACCTGACACTAACACAATATTGTAAATCACCTAGAGTTTAATAAGTAAAATTTTTAAAAACTGGAAAATAGAATTGAAGGGGAGGGATGTTTGTTTAAAATGAGACTTGGAAGTGCTGAAAAACAAAGATCTGTGCCTTATCAAAATGTCTCCACCTTCTATCAAGAGTTAAGAATATAAAACAGGGTAAGAAAAATGTCTCTTCATTTTCTGTAAGACTAAGGAAAAAAATTTGCTGCATATCTCAGCCAGTGTCATACAGCAGTTTCTTACTGGCATATTATGCTTCTATCATATTGACCAGGAGTCTTTCCTTGTTTCGTGGGAGGACTGTGAAATCCATTGCATTTCTCTTTTCCTTTGTGCTGCCAGGGAGCTCGGAGCTGTACCTTGTCAGCTGTCCCTTAACCTAAGGCTTTTTGGGGTTATTATCTCCCCACTCTTTTCTTTTAAAACTTTTGATGCCTGTGTCTTCTTTTTAGAAGCTTTCCAAAACAATTCCTAACATTAGGTAGATATCACAGATTCGTGGGTAAAAAATGAATTTTCAGGATGAAAAGGATGACTTTAAGTTTTTCTTTTTAACTTCTGAAATGTGAATTGAGCCAGCCATGGGCATGCGTATGGGCACGGACATACCCAAGAACATGTATGTGCTTGATGCTTGGACAAGTGTCCACTTGGTCTTGACCTTAAGAGAGAATGAGCTTGGATCCGAGGCAGGCCTGGCTTTGAACCCTGGCTGCCCACAGCTTGCTTTATGACATTAATGTCTCTGGGTCTCAGTGTCCTCATCTGAGATGAAGATAATGATACCATGCAGAGTCGTTAAAGGATTTAGCAAAACAGTTTCTATAAAATGCACAGTGCAGGGCTCGGTGCATAGTAGGCCTGCAGCAGATGGTAGTTACTACTATTGTTATCATTATGTCTGGCACAGGCTAGACTTTATAGAAAGGCTGGGCTGTGTATTCTTAACTGCTCCAGGTCATTTTCTAGAATGGCCCGTGTTGAACTGAAATGACCTTCTGCCTTAAGTTAGGGTGGACCATCCGGGGAGGGCTACCAAGGCTGGCTTCTCCTTTAGAGAGTAGCTCTGTGCTAGGATTTCGTACTAATTCTCAATGCCAGGGTCCCATCACTGCGGAAGCCTCAGGATTTTCTGAGGTCATCCACTTGGGGGTTGTTGACTAACACTCACACAGCTCAGAGGCTGCCACCTCCTGATTTATTGGTAAAGGGACTTGAGCATCCTTGCCCAGAAAGTCCCTTGAAACCTATCTCCTAGTTTTGGCCGGCTCTTGCTTGATTTTATTTGGCTATTACCTTCCATTTTTCTCTCACTTCTGACTGTTAGCCAATTGCCTGGGGTGTTTTTTAGGGAGGGGAGAGTTAACGTGGCACAGTACTCCGTGTGGCCATTTGGCCCCCATCTGGAGGCTCGGGTGAGCAGGGGCCACCTGTTACCTGGACCGGGGTACAGGGAGTGTGGCCGAGCGATGCCGATGGGCTGGCCGTGATTTCTGGACGCCTTTGGCTTCCCTGTAGACTACTGTCATTGGATGTCCCTTCTCGCTGGGATATTCCCGCCGGCTTTTGCGCAGGGGGATCCTCCCCACCCCTGCCCTACTCTGCCAAAACTATTGTTTAAAAGAGGAAGCTCTTTCGGTCATAAAATGTCCCCTGGTGGTTAGTATCTGGTTATATAGACCTGTTGCGTTAGATGGTAGCCTGATTAGCAGGAAGTAGGTGATTCATCAGAAAAAAAGAAAAAATAAACCCTTACCAAAATGAACTTCCTCTTTCAGCCTCTTTGTTCCAGCTCATCCTTTTAGAACCTTTTTGTAGCTTCTTAGAAAAAAATTACTCATCGGGACTAATGCAGTGTTTCAAAGGGAGGTCATCCCAGCCCTTCACAGCCAAATGTTTTATTTTTCCATAGTTTCAGAAAAGCCAGCCCCATGCTGTCTGTTCCCAGTGGGGCCGGGGCTGGGGTGTGGGTGCTGCCTTGAGGCGTTTCAGGTGTGGCAGGCCTCCCACCTTTGTTAGGACGTCCCCTTCACCCGGTCCTTCCATTCTGTTTGCCCCACAGGTCCAGGAGGCTGCGAGTCGGGGCCTGAAATTCGTGGGGGTCATACCTCAGCACCGCTGCCCGGGGACCTCAGCAGGCAGCGGCCCCCAGACGGACGCCAGGAATGCGACAAAGGAGCCTGGCAGGTGTGGGGATGAGGAGAGCCTGGGGGCTGCAGACGGGAGCCCAGAGCCTGGCCAGGGCCCGGGAGGGGAGACACCTGCCGCCCAGCAGCCCCGCTCAGCCTCAGGAGAGTGTGACGGCGCGGAATCTCCACTGCGCGGGGTGAGCGAGACCCCAGATGGACCGGATGGTGACCCGTCAGAAGCTCAAAGAGAACCACTCTCAGGAAGTAAGTATGTCCTCGTGAGGACTCTGACCCACTTACAGAGGCTGCTAGCTTTTCAGGAATCCCCCTGGCATCTTAGGAAAAAGGAGCAGAATTATCTAGAGACAGCAGTCCATCAGACAGGAGAAACTGTCAAGCAGTGTCCCGGACCTCCTGACTGTTGCCTTCCTGAAGCTGTGACTTCCGGGGAGCAGGACCACGTGACACTGACCTGCAGCTGCTCCAAAGTGTCACGTGTGAAGTAGATTCTAGACGGAGAGGTGTTTTACCCCCTGTGTCCTTGCGCTGCCCCGGAATTACCCTGCTCTAACACAGGAAGTCTAACACGCTGGCCACCGGTGCAGAAAGTACCCTCCACTTCAGGGCCGCTTGTTTTGATTATCTGCCTCAGGAAGGAAACCAAGGCAGTCAGCTGAGGACAAGCTGTGCAGGAAGCTGGTGGTGCAGCTCACTCGGCTGTAAACCACCAGATTTCAGGGAGTTGATATAGCTGGCGGATGAGCACTGCGGAGGGGACACAGCCAAGGAGCCGCCACCAACAGGTGGACCCTCTTAATCACATGGTCGCACCGGCCATTGGAGCCTGTGCTGCAGGTTGGGGATCAGAAATCAACACAACGAGGATGCTAGTTGATGTTTATTTTTTCTTTTATTTAAAAAAATTTTTTTTAATGGAGGCACTGGGCGTTGAACCCAGGACCTTGTGCACGCTAAGCACGCGCCCCGCCGCTGAGCTGCCACCCTCCCTCTCTACCAGCGGTTATTCCTGCTTGCCCTGAACCAGGCCCCGTGCCAGGAAGCATTTTGCACGGTGGTCCCTGCCTCCTGCCTGTGATGCGGGTGAGCTCTTGTATCATCACAGGAGTCCCCTTTCTCTGTAGGCCTTTCTGGGTCATCTCCCTGGTTAATGTTACGATTTATTGACTAATTCTTGAAGTCAGCCTCTTATAAATGCCGAGGGACCATTGATGCCTGGGGAACAGAAAAGAGGGCGAAGTAGTTTCTCTTGTGATGTCAGTTCTTCCTGAAAAGAAAGCTGTGGGGCGGTTAGTTCTGGGGCTGGTTGGCAGGTTGACCCTGGCGGGGAGATCGGAGCAGCCTCAGTTCTGGGAGAGACTTAGGTCCGCTTCATCGAGGCCCTGATCCTTCTTAAGTATGTGTGACGTGGATTGCCATGCGGGACTCTTCACACGGTGAGGGGTGGACTCGGCGGCAGGTGGACTCCCGTAGAGCAGCTGAGAGCACACTGGGACCCTGTGGGCGCCTCCCAAGGAGCGTCCCAGTCTTATTTCAGAGCCTCCGTCTCACACTGCCGTTGGGCTGAATCCTGAGAAGCGGGACGGGCCTCCTTGGAGCCCGGCTCTCCCATCCAGGACTGTGGGAGGGTTGGGGTCTGGGGCAGGAGTCATGGAGAGGCAGGTGCGCGAGAAAGTCACCTTGCACGCGCTCATAGAGTTGGACTGTATCTCGTAGTTGGAGCACTCAGCCTCCTTGAAGGCTGAATGTCCGGGGGCCCCGTCTCCGTGGATCATGGCCCCCACCTGACCCCTGCTTCTCCCCTTGTTTTTCTGGGGGAGCCCTGCCTTGGCCTCCCTGGGAAGTCCACGCACTGCCCCCTCCCCGCCCCCACCGGCTGCCCCTCCCCGCTCCTTGCCCGACGTTCAGCTATCTTTCTCTCCGGGCCCCCTAAGGAGGGCGAAGTGCTTTTACTCCTCGTTCTGCCAGGTGGGCTTAAATAGGCAATCACAGCAAGACAATTAAAAAAAAACCCAGAGGGAGTCTGCCTCCTCCCCTCTGCCTCCCTCTTTCATTTCTTTCCTCTGTAGGAGCCTGGGGGAGCTGGGCGCCACTGCTCAGACAGGACTGTCGCAGCTCAGTCCCCATGCCCCAGCGGGAAACCGGGCGCCCCTCCATCCGCCGCCCCCCGCGGGCCTCAGGAACTGCTCTGGCACCGGAGTTCTGCTCCCCGTGGGAGTTTCTTCTCCCTCACGGACTTTTATCTCTGCATCCTGGGGAATGGCCTTGGTTTGATGTTGTGCTGTGCACACATCACCTGAGCTGGGGTGGGATGGCCCTGCTCCAAGATGCTCCCGTCTCAGACCTCACACTTGCCCCCCTGGCTCCGGGGGAGACCCAGAATACAGCCCCCCTGCTGGGTTCCCCACGGGCTTCTGCGATGGGGAGAAGCTTCCGTCATTCACCATAAACAGGCCAGGGGGGGAGGCCGCTGCTCAGAAAGGTTAGGGAGGTGTCGCTGGATGTCCCCTGGTGTTTCTCTCCTGTCTCCCACGTCCCCCTTGTCTTCTGCTGCAGCTGCAGTCGGAGGAGCAAGGAGGCCACGCAGGTTAGCGCAGATTAGACCTGTTCTCACGGTCACCGGAATAACAGTCAAAGCCTTCCGAGCTCTGCCTTCCCACCTGCGCCTCCTCACTCCAGATGCCTGGAGATGCAGCCAGAAACCCGAGCCAGGGACCTCAGTGTCCTCCTCGGGAGGGGTTCTCTCCAGTAGGTCCCTGGGCAGGCACTCATGCTGGGGGATGCCCTCCGAGCTTGCCTTTTCTGATGGCGTGCCCCGTCCCTCGCTGGACCTGTCCACCCTTCCTGGGGCCCCTGGGATAGTTCCCTGTGGTTCTGTCCCCTCCCCCACCCCCCATCTACCACCTGCCACCATCTCTCTGGCCTTTTACTCCATCCATTAACAAACAGCTGTTGAACTCCCACCCGTGGTCGTCGGCGCCCGCTTTCTGTGTGCCGATGAGATTAGCCTCTTGTTAGAGTTGGGAGGCAGCCCAGGATTGGGGGTTTGAAAGACTCTTGGCTTTGCCTCTTACCAGCTTGTGATTCCTGGGGATCCACTCAAGGCTTTTGGGCACAGAAGGGATGCAGTGGGGGCTGGAGGGTCACATGAAATGGTAGCTCTGGAGGGCCTTGACAATGCATCCATGTGCCTGGGGCCGCTGACATCCTGACCAGGGGGACTCTGTGAATGGCTGTGCGTGCAGTGGGTTCCATGCTTTGCCAGGCAAGCAGGCCACCCCCAAGCATAGAGATGCCACACTGTTAGCACCCAAGCCTGAAGCAGCCTCCTCCCAGATTCAGAAATCTGCCCTCTCTTCTCCCGACGGCACCCACAGCCCTGCCTTCCCAGTGCACACCTTTCATCTTCACTCCCCTGCCTACCTCTGCAGACCGGAGCCCCCAGGCCAACTCTGACACCCGCTTGTTCCTGCCAACCCAGCTAGCTCGCCAGCCGCCTTCTCCTCCACCCTCGGAGCCCCATGCTTCTGGCCAGACTCTGAGCGCTTTCTTTCCTGCAGCGTGGGGGTCTCCTGGGATGCCAGGCCCCAAGCAGCCCACCTCCTTCCTGCAAGTGGTGGGCTCTCTGGAAGCCTGCAGACTTCTGTTCCGTGCCTGAGTCCCTCCTGCCTGGTACCAGCCTTAGAACTGGACATCTGCCTGCTTCCTCCTTGGTCTGAGGAATTTAACAGCAAGGCCTGAGCGGAACAGGCTGTCACGCCAGCAGCGCCTGGCCGGCCCCAGCCCTGCCCCCTCCTCCCTAACTTCTCGCCCTTGTCTGGCTGAGGTCCATCCATCAAACATCTATGTGGCACCTACCATGTTTTCTGAATGTGCACCTTTTCTAAACACAAGGGATCAAGACAAGCCCCCTCTACTCCTGAGTCAGGGGGCAAGAGCAAGACACCAAACAGAAGCAGAACTACAAGACAGGACTGTCTCAGAGCTCCCTGGGTGCTGGCCTGGGCAGCTTTTCAGCCCTTCTCAGAGCATTCTCAGAACAATGCGTCCCCTCCTTTAGGACATTCTGTCCCATGTCTGGAAAAATCTTCTAGCTGGGGTCAGGACAGAGTCCCAGAGCAACTGAGAAAAGGTAAACAAACTTGGACTTCTTTTTGGAATCCCTGGTGCCTGCTCATGTGAGGATGTGTGTTGGAGGATCAGACTTCTGGTGGGGGAGGGTGTTGCTCAGTGGTAGAGCGTGTGCTTAGCGTGCACAAAGTCCTGGGTTCAATCCCCAGCACCTCCATTAAAAAAATTAAAAGAATATTAAGACATCAAAAGGCATCATTTGGGGACAGTTTCTCTTGGCTGGTTTCCATGTGAGTCGAGAGGACCGTGGCCAAGGAGCCCGCAGGGCAGAGGAGTTTCCGGAAGGGTTCTGCATCTGAAATCAGGTTTCTTCCAATGTTTCATTGCTGCTCAGGCTTTGGTGGCTTTGGATTCTAGCAGCCTTTCCTTTTCCTTCCTGAAAAGTTTATTTCTGTCCTTGGCTTCGGTCCTTCTCCCCCGGGAGGATCCAGACGGGAAAACTGGGGGCCTCTGTCAGTACCCCGCCATCCACCTCCTCTGCGTTGAGGCTCCGAATTCCCCGCCCCGCCCTGGCACTCTCCCCCCCGCGTTCCCTCTTTCTCATTATGCTTGTGGGAAAGTTGTGGTTTCCCCTGGCCCTGTAACTGGGGGGGGTCCTTCTGTGTGACCAAGTGTCGTCATGTAGTCTTGGACTTCGGCCACGTCTCAGTTCCCCACTCATCATGTGTTTGTGCTTGACTGTGGCAGACTGTGGTGACCAGTGCTGTGGCCCACCTTGAGATCACCTGAGGACAGCTTTTTTGGGGTGGGGAGTGGTAATTAGATTGGCTTGTTTGATTGATTGATTGATTGATTGTTTGTTTGTTTGTTTATTTATTTAATGGAGGTACTGGGGAGTGAACCCAGGGCCTCGTGCATGCTAGTCACGTGCTGTACCACTGAGCTGTGCCCTCCCGACTAAGAGGACGGCTTTCTTAATCTCTGCCTGCAGATGACTCTGGAATGGGGCAGATGCCCCAGGGAATTAATGCCTCCAGAGTGGCCCTCAGCCCCTGAGGACAGATGCCAGCTTCCTTTAACCCTCTTAGGGCGATCTGGGGTGTGTGTGCACAGTGTCTCGGGTGCCCAGCTGCCCTGGAAGGAACCTGCTCATCAGCGCAGCCTGCCCTGGCGTTCATCTCTGCCCTGTTTCTCCTCTCGGCTCCCTCGCTCTGTCTCCTGGGATCACTTCCCCAGCGAACTACTTGCACCCAGAAGCATACAGGGTCTGCTTTAGAAGAAATCCAGATAAAGTCAAGGACTCGCTGGTGGCTTAGCCTCTGGCCTTTAGCAGCTGCAGCTTTTATGTGAGCCCCTGACACCTTGGACTGGAACATGCCCCCATCACGTCCTGACCCGTCCCTCAGCTCTGATCCATTGCTCCGTTCCCATCTGTTACAAGCCTTTCCCTACATGACCCCATTCCCCAAATGTGTATGTGAAAGTCGCGAAGGTCTAGGGATGGCTCGCTCCATACACCTAGCCCTGATTGCCCATGTGAAAGCACTTACTGGCTGGGATTTTCAATGGCTTCCTGAGTCAGGTAAATGGACCAAGAAAAGTAGTTTGGGGTGGGGAGGATGAACGGGCCAGCGTTGGTTGTTGAAAATCCAGGTGGCCGTCTGTGAAGATGGGGGCCCCTCCTTCCTAACTGGTTCTGTGCAGTGGATGGCGAGAAATGCCTCCTTCCCCTCCCTCTCATCCCCACGGCTGCTGACGGCAGAGTCTGTGGCCCAGAAGTGCTCCCTGGAGATCTCTGCTGGTGCTTGCTCAAATGGGGCTGTGAAAAGACTTCCTTTGTCCCAGAATACGGTCACCGTGTGGGATAATCTGAGATGCACGGGTGCATGTGTTTGTGTGAATTTGCCTCCTCCCCTCCTGTTTGCGGCAGACAGGTAGTGGCTTTCCTAACGGTGGTAAAGCTAGAGTTTCCTTTTGAGTGCCCTTATGTAGATAAAGGGAAGTGTGTCCATTGAAAAAAAGTCATGCATTCGGATACTGCAAAAGTTGTGAAACACTGAAACAGAGGTGTCTCAGCATGGGGGTCTAGGCGAGGTGTCTCCTGCGGGGAGCATGCTTGCCCTTTGTCCTTCTTGCTAAGGTCAACCATTGTTCATGACCTTTTAGATACTTTTTTGGAAAAAGGTTGTGGATCTTCTTCTTACCCAAGCGTATTCTAGCTAGCCTGTGTAAGCAAAGCTCTTTAAGCTGGGCGAACTCTGATGACTTGACTAAATGAGAAACACAAAAATAGACCTTCAGACTTAGGTGGAAATTCCAGGTATTAGCTTCTGGAGGCTGACGCTGGCCACTCACGACCAGCAGCACACAGAGCAGGCAGGCAGGCGTAGGACTGCTGCTGGGCGAGAGTGAGTATTGATTTTTGAAGAACCGAGCTATAAATGAAGGAGCGGGAAGCAGGGCCTGACTCCCAGTGCCTGCCTGGCTGTCGGAGCGACCCCACCGCTCTGGGCAGGAACCCTCGTTTACTGGAACGTATTTATTTTTACATATCAATGATGTATTTTTGATGTACTTGATTAAGTATTATGGGTTTGGCCCCAGGAAACACCACTGCAATTTATAAATAGTGAGTTCAGGGGTGTACACGGTTCCTGGAATCACAGCTGTGTTCTTGTGTTTGTGTGACTTTGTGCATTTGTTTTTTCTTTAACACCAAAATATGCCCACTTTTTCTTCCAAAACACACATTGGTGTGGATTTCTAGAAATGTCTACGATGTCTTTCTCGCAGACACCTAACCTTGCAAATTAATCCCGGCTGAGAGCTGTTGGTTATATGCCAGATTCAAACCTGAGTCCTCTTAGGACTCCACACTTGAAGTCCCTGTCACTTTCAGGGCACCTTACTGCTCGGAATTGGGTTTTATTTTTAGGCAACAGTGCAACTTAATAAATATTTTGCCTTTGGTATCATTTCCCGAGGCTCCTGAGAGGTTCTGTGGGGCCCAATGAGGCAGCTTCTCACCATTTGATCTCTTCTCTCCCTACCCTCCTCTTTACAAATCCCCGACAGGAATGGAGATCTTCGCCCTTTTCAACAAACCGAAGAGCGGCCAGCAGTGCCGGCAGTACTATCCCGTCACCATTCCTCTCCGGGTCTCCAGGAACGGCCAGACGGTCAGTGGTCTGGATGCCAACTGGCTGGAGCACATGAGTGACCACTTCCGGAAGGGAGGCGTGCTGGTGAACGCGGTCTTCCAGCTCGGCCTGGTCAACGGTACGGGAGGCGCAGCGCACCCCACCCCACCCCACCCCCAACCCCCTGGGCAGCCCTGAGGAGCTCTGCCCCTCACTCTGGTCACCTCAGCCCCACTTCAGAGCCCGCCCCGCTCAGAAAGCTCTGCAGTCGATGAACGCGCTGCATCTGACTTGTAATTAACACACCCCGAGGAATCTCCCAGAAAGCCCACCGCCTGTGCTCTGCAGACCCCTCTTGGCGTCGGCCAGGTAGATGCTAAAATGACAGAGGCAGGAGTGATTCTGTTTCACTGGTGGTGACCTCAATCTGTTGCTTTTAAAGCCTTTTAAAAAGATTGTTCCCAGGATTTGTTAATTACCCCCTAGGCTCCTTCCGCTCCAAAAGTGTGAATTGTTTCTAGACAGGATTACATGTGAATTAGCAGGAGCGGCACCTTGGAATTGACAGCGAAGTGAATTGAACAGCCTGGCTTCTATCAGCTCCGTGGGGACACACGCTGCGCCCCTGGGTCTCACGGCCCCCATACCCCTCCCCTGGAATGGGTTCTCTCTGCAGGTTTGCTGTGTGGATGGCACTGTTGGTGCCAGCTTTTCTAAGGCAGAGAGAGTTTGCCCCGAGTGGGGAGACGTGTTGAGCCGCGAGAGGGTTTTTGGGTTAACATGAAGGCAAGTCGGGTCACCAGGGAGGCGTCAGAGCTGGGAGACAGTCTGGGGAGTGGGACCCACATGCCAGCATGTGTGACTCCTGGGGGCTGCCAGTCAGCAGGATTCCGAAGTCAGTGCAACTAAAGTCACACCAAACTCGTTGATCCCGGGGAGACCTGGCAGGGGCACCGCCAGCCCTGCGCCTTGGCTATTGAGCAGCTTCCTCTCTGAAAATTAGCAGAGTCAGGAACAGTGTTTGGATTCTGTTTTGTTTGCCATCCTTGACGTGCTGGCAGATACCCTTAGAAGAGACACAGGTCTAAATTCTGAACGTACATACACGAAATCATCCCAGACCGTAGAACGTTGTACAGGACAAACACGTCTTGTGCAGTGCACGTCCCTTGTCACACTCTGCATATCGGTGTCGACTGTCAGCGTGTTTGTAGAGTAACAGCAGGCGTTGAGTAGTCTAGTGGGCCACGACCAGACCGACTGCGGGACGGATGAGTGACCCAGGAAAGGTGGTGGGCTCGTTAATACACCTTGAGCAGCGCAATCCAGTAGAACTCGCCATCACCATGAGAATGTTCTGTATCTGTGCCATCCAGTATGGTAGCTGCCAGCCACCAGTGGCTGCTGGCCATTGGAGATGTGGCTAGTCCAATGGGGGAGCTTAATTTCTAATTTATTTAACGTTCATTTAAATTTCAGTAGCCACGGGAGATGACTGGCTCGTGTATGGGACAGTGCAGTTGTAAAAGGTATTTTCATTGATACAACCAAGGAAGAGGTGATTCTGTTCTTGGCGGCAAGGTCCGTAACCTCCCTTGGTGCAGGGAGGCCTTCCCTCGTGCCCACAGGGTTCCCTGAAGCCCGGGGTTGTTGGATCTCCTGTTGGAGGTGCACCGTCAGACGCCAGGCATGTCCTTGGAGCAGCTGTTTACAGCCCTTGCTCATTGACGGGGGGTGGGGGGGTGCAGTGAGGAACCCTGTACCTCCTGCTCCCTGCAGGGACACCCCATCGTCCATTCCAGGTTGTGCAACAACATCCACTTTTATGGGTCTGGAGAGGCTCCGTGTGACCGTGTGAGGTTTTAACTATGTCTCTGGGAACCTGAAGATTAGTTATACTAACATCTTAGAGCCGAGCAGGGAGGGGCCCCCGGCAGCGTACCCAGGCACTCCCTGCCGTGGGAGAATTGGGGCTTCAAAAGCAAAGTTTTCTCTTTGGCTCCTTCTGGCTGTGTGTCAGGGGCCAGCTGAGCCCGAGGGGAGGACACCTTGAACCTGAAATTTCACACTGCCCTGCATTGTCTCTCTGGCCCTTACAGCTTTGGCATTCAAGGCTGTGTTATCGCCTCCTCCCCTCCCCCCACCCCATTCTCCAACCCTGAGTCCCCCAAACACAGATAATTTATGCAGTTTTTCTTCCACCTCGACTGGAGTGTTGGAAATGCTGTTCTCCCCTCCCTGGGCTTGAGCTGCATGAAACCCAGCCTTCCTGCCTTGAAGACAGAACATGAAATTTCCCCTGGCATGTGCAGCTGTGAAGCCGGCGCTCAGGCTGGGACGTCCCCACTGCAGGGCCTCCCACACCCCGGGCCCCGGGCACGGCTGCCAATTTCTCGAAACGAAATGCATTTAAACCCACTCAGAACTCAAACACGATTTTGCCCTCCTGTTTCCGATGGGCGGGAGAGCGCAGTCTGGCAGGAAGGCTTACAGAGTTAAGGTGTCTCTGCTCTGGAAAAGCCGGTTTCCGTAGGCCAGGGATGCATATGTTCTTTTCCCAGAATTAAAAAAAAAAAGGCAGCTAATCATCATTATAAAAGGAACCTATTTTGAGTAAGATAATGAATGTCCTTACAGATCAACCTGGCAGAGCTGGGAAGCACATCTTTCAGCTGTTTGCCATCTGGAAAAGCACCCGTCTTGACTCTTAAAGAGACATTTGTGCTTCAGCCTGTTTTCCACGGGGTCGTAAAACGCACGAGAACTTTATCCCATAAACAAGGTGATGGTTAGCCTGGAGCATCCAGGAAAGGCTCCATCTTCTATTTTCAGTCTTGACCTCTCAGGGCCTGGAAGGGCCTCTGCTGATGGGCCCCCCAAGGGGGCTCCTCCCTTCAGAGGGACCAGGGGTCCTGGTGGGGAGGCCGGCCCTTGGGTCCTGGGGCAGAGATGACGGGGCATCACGTGAGGAGCAGCTCCTGTGCGGGTCTCAGCGGCTCCCACTGAGCAACCATCTGGTCCGACAACCCAGTAAAGTAGGTGCAGTGGTCCTGCCTGTGTCCCAGCCGTGGACACTGAGGCCCAGAACAATTACATCATGGCCACGGGTCCCAGCTAGCAAGGGGCAAGAGTGGTCAGAAGGAAGAGGATGTGAGTGGGGAGAGGGGGCGTGAGGAGGAGAGAAGAGAGGTAGCCAGGCCAGTAGAGGGGGCTGGTCCCTGGCGGCCCTCAGGGAGGTGGGGTGCAGGGTCACCCTTAGGGAAGTCTCGGGCCCCGGGCAAATGAGCCCAGGCGGTGGTCAGACAGCAGGACGGACGGACCCACAGACACTCTGCAGCCAGTGAGATGGAGGCCAGGATCTGCGGCCGGGCAGGGGACCCTCTGCTGCTGCTGAGGGTTGGACAGTACCAGGAGTCGGTGAGGATAAGGCAGAGCTGGCTGCCCACCTTCTAAAGACCCACCTCGGGGGGCTTCTGGGCCTGTAGGGTCCCTGCGGCCACTACTGGCCCCCCTGGCCCTGCGCTCACCTCCCTTTGTCCCCTGGGCCCGTCCTTGCCCTGCCTTCCTCTTGTTCTGCCTTCGTGCCCCCACCTGGCTCTGTCCTTGGCCCTGTCCGGACCCCACCCCAGCCCGCCCTCCCCTTCTCCTAGCACAGGAATCCTCCCGCCTCCGGCAGTACCGTCTCTCCTCAGCCCATGTTCAGATGTTCTCCGCTGTTTCACAGATGTCCTTTGCAGCAAGTTGTCCAAACCAGAATCCAACCCAGCAATAGGCACTGCGTGGGGCAACCATATCCTCCCTTCTCTTTTATCTACAAGAGTCATTCATTCTTCTGCTTGAAATCAACCTCACCTCTTATCTGCAGAGTGTCCTGCATTCTGGGCTTGTCTGGTCAGTGCCTCCCCAGGTTGGCGTATTTCTCCAGCCTCTGTCTCCTATAGACTGGAATTGAGTTCTAAGGCTTTGATACGTTCAGCACTTAGGACTAGAATACCTTCCAGAAGATGCTGTGTTGCACGTGCTGGGTCCCATCAGGAGACACGTGTACCTGGGTGTCTCTCTTTGCCTACCTTTTTTTTTTAATGGAGGTGCTGGGGATTGAACCCAGGACCTCGTGCGTGCTAAGCACACACTCTACCCCTAAGCTATACCCTCCCCACTCCTTGCCTACCTTTGTAAAGATTAGGTTTCCCTTAAGACTCTCTCTGATGTCCCAGCTGCATGTAAATCCAAATACCGTTTGGTATTTATACCACCTTTTTTGATGCGTAGTGTAAATGAAAGTATCTTTATTTGCAGAATACATATGTAAAAGCCATGCACATCGCTCAAATAAGTACACATAGGACACATATTTTATGCAGACATATTTGCAAACCCTCGGGCAGGGCCTGCTGCCTGTACCTGTTAGTGTCCCAGTGCCTGTACACAGAAGTGTGCTGTATACAGAAGGCACCCAGTAAAGGTTTCCGGATGATGCTCAGTAATGCCATAGTGAGGGAGGGGAAGCTGGTGTTGGGGTGTGCAGCACCAGGCCCCTGCAGATTGGGGGAGCAGGGGAGAATGAGGTTCCAGGCGGTTCACGGCCACAACCTTGGCACACAGTGGTCTCCAGGCACATTGGCCCAGTGGAGATAGGCGTGGCTTCTATTTCAGAGAAACCACTTAGTAATTAATGTAGGGGGTAGATTTCACTTAGGCAGTTAAATCATTTTCTCTTCTGTCCGTGGCACGTCTTTAAGTCAGCTCTTGCCTGTGATCTAGTGCACATTCAGAAACCTATGCGGATCCTAAGGGTACACAGCTCAGTGGATTTTCACAAGGTAGGCACACCTGTGCAACCAGCAACAGATTGAGAAACAGAACACGCCAGCCCCATCAGAGTCACTCTCACAGCCCTCACTGTCTCTCTCCCCGAAGGCGACCGCAGCGCTGACCCAGAGCATCATAATTAAGGCGTGAACTTTATGTGAGTGGAGCCTGCATTTCTTGTATTTGGCTTTTTCCCCCTCATTCTCTTTGTAATATTCATCCACCTTTTCCCATGTCATTGTGGATCGTTCTTCCTCACGGCTCTATACCATTCCTTGTGTGATATGCATGGCTTATCCGTTTACACGCGTAACTGTTCTTTTGGGGCCCCATGCAGGAAGGCATGGCATCTGCACAGATTTGACCCCAAACAGAAGCCACAAGGCCACCTCACTGCAACTCCACTAAGATGCCATACAAACCACAAAGGCAGGAAGTACTGCCCAGTGTTCAGAGCACACCGCCTCCACCAGGCTGGGCACCTGGGCTGCTCATCGCCGGGCCCGTTGTTGTGGTGATTTGATAAAATCTCTCTCAGCTGTTGAAAGAACATACTCAGCTATTAAAAGAAAGTAGGCTTTGCAACCAAAGAAACCACATTTCAGATGGAGATTGGCCGTGGTGTTCACTTGAACGTGGACATGTGATTTCACTCCTGTGACTGGCATTTTCTCACCCACTAAGGGGGAATGATAACCTTTGCAGAACTGGGGGGAGGATGCGATGAGAAGCCACGAACCATGCCTGGCCGTGGGCCTCGTAGCCAGCAAGCACCAAATCGGGGCGTGTCCTCCCCACCTGGTGGATTAAATGACACTGAATTTGCAGGCGAACCTTTACTGGGATTGGAGCGGAATATCACCTCCTCTGGCTTATTCACCATGTCAAACAAGGAGTGCAGGAGGGAGGGCAGGCCAGGAGCAGCCGTGAGGGCTGCAGAATCGGGAGGGGCAGCAAGCCTGCTCCCTTCTTTTGGCAGATTAGCCATGACTTGTTGGGGGAGACACACGGCCTCATCACCCTGGTTGGTCAATTGCCTTCGCAATGCGGTTGCATGTCTGTGTAATAAAATGTGGGATCACGGCTGGTGCACACCAATGCTGGAACCCAGGGAGTGGGGTGAGCACCGTGCTGGTGGGGGAAAAGGGTGTTCAGGAGCCAAGGGCATGTGTTATTCCAGCGACGCCCAGCCGGGGCAATTTAGACCATGCTAGCTTTGTGAAAGAACAGTAGCATTTTAAGACAGACCACACACAGCGACCACTTGTCATGGCGTGAGAGTTTCAGGTTGGACTTGGGAAAAAGAGCAGCTCACCTAGGGTGAGTCTGAAGGCCAGCTTGCTAGATGGAATCTCCCTGTGCCAGGGGCTGCGGTTGCCCCACGGAAGTTACCTCTTGGGATAACGGGACAGATTGCCTTTTCCCACATGCTTCTTGTAACTCAGAAGCTCAGAAAGTTAAGGTGGCCTTTTGCCAAAAGCCCTGCATCAAATATTTATACAATGCCAGGGCAAATAGCTTTCTGTGCACAGTAGGGGAGCATCTTTCCCTTCATAAAAAATGCAGTGATAATGAGTGTTTTCCATGGATGGAGAGTGAGTTCACCTTTTTGCACAGGGAGCTGCTCTCTCCGATGGTATTCATACCGGCTCGGAGGACATTACAGTGGGCCTGACCCCAGAAGGTGGTGAGGAGACGGGTAGTGGACAAGACCGTCAAAACAAGGGGCTCTTTAAAAGCCTGGCTGTCTGCTCTCTGTGGTTCATGGACTATTTTTGCTGTTGCAGATGACCAGGTTTTGACAGCCCTTCTGAACTGGCTCGGCAGTTAAGTGGGTGAATCAGCACTCTGGATTCAGAGTAACAGAGCCGTGGGCTGAGGGGCTGGAGGCAGGCTCTGAGGGAGGAGGATGGTAAATTAGGACCTGGTTTGTTCCTACTTCACATCCCCGAGCCTGGACCACGCAGCCCTCCCCCTGGGCCTGTGACTCACAGGGGAGGGGGACAGGGAAAGGAAGGGATGCCAGGCGGAGGGCTGGAAGGGAAGTCCGGATGGGCTATATCATCGTCTTCTCCGCCGTTCTGGACCTCAGCTCTTCTGCTGAGTGCTGATACGCACGTCAGGTTGGGCTTGCTGATACTTAGAGCATGTGGTCGGCACATTTAAAGGGCTTGGAGGCTTTCCATTAAGAAGAGCTATAGATAGATTTGGAAATTGGGTATAACATGTTTTTGTAAAAGCCTTGAAGAAATTTGTGCTGTGTTGATATAATACTGAAGGAATCAGTGAGTATCTTCGGGTCCCAGGCATCCCAGGTCAGGACTTGGGAAAGCTTTATTCAGAGGGGTTCCAGAGGGCATTCCTACGGTGGCAGACTCACTCCAGTCGGTCCTGTGTCACCCAGAACTTTGAATGTGAGCTGGACTAGGGTCCATGCTTGTCCTGGACCCCAAGATATGTGTAATGTGACTCAGCCAAAGAGAAGTTTCTTCTTCCCTGGTCACCTACGTAAAATGTCTTAGGAGAGCATTGCACAGACAGCTGGGGGAAACTTTCTAGCCGAGTAGACGAGAGAGGCCAGCTTAGTACTTTTGCAAAGGCTGTTTCATAACAGACTCTCCATATAGGAAACAAATTTTTAAATGGAGCATGATAGTGATTAACCCACAGGGATCTGACTTGAAGTGGAGTGTCGTCTGGTCGGGGAGGAGTAATATCAGGGTGGGACTACTGTGCTCCAGGAATTCTGCTCACAGCCGTGGTTTGTCAAGCTGGTCAGGCCCCTCTGTTATTCTGAATTGATCAGATCTGCAATGATCAGGAATATCCTGAGGCTAAAGCAAAGTTCACTGATCTCATGTTTCTTAGGTTTGGGTTGGACGTTGTATCAGCCAGCTACTGCCACAGTCGTGCTGTGTAACAAACCACTCTAGAGCTCATTGGCTTAAAACAGTAATAATTTATTCTTGCCTATTTGTGGGTTGGCAAGAACGGCTCCATTGAGGCAGCTCTGCTAATATATATATATATACACATTTTTTTTTAATGGAGGTACTGGGGATTGAACCCAGGACCTTGTGCATGCTAAGCATGCACTTTACTGGCTTATGAGGTCTTTTGGAAGACAAGCTAAGGACCGCTGTGGGTTTTTATCTGTTGGTCTTTTTCTTAGTGACTTCTGGAAAATGGGGACAGTTCCTGAACTCCGGCATGACTCAAGGGGCTTTCTGAATTGGTCACCTTTCTATTCCTGATAAAGAAAAGATCACATTGTTGTGCGAATTGGTCTTTTAAAATAAAAATAGTACTTCCTTAATCATGTCCCATCACAAAACACCACGGATAGGGTGACTTACATGAGACATTTATTTTCTTGTGGTTCAGGAGGCTGGACGTCTGTGATCAGGGTGCTGGCAAGTTCGGTTTTGGGGGAGGCCTCATTTCCTTGCTTGCAGACTGCCACCTTCTCTGCGTCCTCACATGGCCTTTCTTTTGTGCGAGGTCAGGGATGGGTACTGGTTGGGGGTGCCCTGGTGTCTCTTCCTCTTCTTTTAAGGACATCAGTTCTGTTGGTCCTGGGCCCACCCTCATGACGTCACTGAACCTTAATTACCCTCCGAAAGGCCCTATCTCCAAATGTAGTTGATGCAGGAAAAACGGATATGGGGCGTGAGAAGGGCCGTGTCCCAGGCTTCAGTTGAGCCCCTGCGATGTGCCCCGCCAAGTGAGGGTCCTTGGCTTCACACCAGAAAGAATTCAGGAGCGAGCCACAGTTGAGTGAAGGTAGATTTATTCAGAGAGATACATTGGAAGGCAAGAGAAAGGCCACGAGGTGTGGGCGTTGGGTGCTCAGATTAAAAGTAGGTACACACTCCATAGACAGTGTGGGCTGTCTCCAAATGGGGGTGGGGGGAGGCGGTGGCCGTGAGGGGCAGAGTTGCCCATTTTTATGGGCTTGGTGGCTTCATATGCAAGTAAGTAGAAGGACCAGTCTAACTAGCCTGGGGAAGGGGCTGGGATTCCCAGGCAGTTGGCCATTTCTCACTCTTTGACCATTTGTGGCTAGCCTTGGGACTGCCATGGCAGGTGTAGGCATGTTTTCATCATGCTAACATATTACAATAAGCATATAATGAAGCTCAAGGCCTACTAGAAGTTAAATCTCCCATCATCTTGAGCCTCAAGGCCTCC